TTTCGAAAAACGGTGCGTTTTAAATTGTGTTTTACAGGGATAACAGCTTATGGAATAGAACAAGGACACAAATCTCCAGAGTTCTGGATATAAACAATGGTTGTCCCCTATATTTTTGCTATAATAATGTGAATACATAAATCAATTCAGTAATTCATCTTACTCGTTGATTGGTTTATTGTAGAATCACCAAGTGAATCATTCGTAGTAGTACGTCTAGAGTCAATGTCCGAAACAGTAGTTGGAAATTCTTGGGATAAAGTTGAAGTTTCTGGCAAATTTGGAAATATGTCAATCGAAATATTCCATCTGTTTGCTTTTATTGTACCCGAAAATGAAGTCACCTCACCAAAGCGATCTTGAAGATACTTTAGTAAACTGGGTGTATTACCGAAGCCATCGCTGTCATCTCCAACCCCCCATCCAGTGACAGACGTTGAAAGCTTTTCTCGATTCGAAATAGTACTGCCGTTAAGGTTGAGAATAGCATCAGGTTGGTTGTAGCGTCCACTTTCAATCTATGAAAAACAAATATCGGTGGCCTACTTAATTAGAAAGATAATGTGCCATCTTTAAGTTCAACTAATTATTTAACAGTGTTAGTGAATAAAACTCTATTAAATGCAGACAAACCTAATGATTTGTTGTATACTGATAAACAATAGAAAATAATTAATAACAATAAATAATCATATCGATATTGTATTTATAATATTTATAAATCGATAATAATAATAATAATAACGATATTATATTATTATTATTATTATTATTATTATTATTATTATTATTATCATTATTATTATTATTATTGTTATAATGCTGATTATTGGTCGATGGAGTAATAATACAAAAAAATAACATACAATTATGAGCCTATGGATATTTAAATAGCTTGGCAGGTTGATAACCCATCTGACGGCTTTATACGAAGCAAGCACCAACACCACCGCATTCTGTGGATTGCCGCCTTTCGGTGGTTGTACATCAACTGTTGTGTCCTCCATGTTATCCCCAACTTCAATCCCGCGATGCATGGATATCACGTGCACTTGTTGCTGAGAAACCTGATGTTCCTTCACACAACTGTTAGTTTTGATTTGTCGTCGGCCCATGTACGCGGTTGCAGCTGAACCAGAGTAATCAGCTACTTTGACTTGGCAGTCCCCAACTTCCGCTAAAAATGAAAAATAATTATCAGTTAGATGTGGGCTAAACTAATATTAATTGATTTTCGACTGTAGTGCTACCACAATACTTTCATTTATTCCCTATCCATTTTTATTTATTAATTTGTTTTCACCGAAATGGTAAGGTTAACTTTCTGTTTTGAACATTATAATTTTAATAAGTAGGAAATAGCCTAGTAAAAATATTTACAAACTAGGGATGTCATTTTTTAGAATATTAAGAAGTCTTGCATATTTAAAGTTTGAACAATAATTAAAATGAATTAAAAGTAAAACAATTGAAAATGTAGACACCAGAAGAACGTCTCTACTACCAAAACAAGAGAAAAGTAAATAATTTTGAAATAAAAAACGTTTTTAGACATAGCGTGGGCCTATCACGTGACTGATACAGTGTATATTTAGCTTAACAATATAATACACGTATATAGTATATATTAGGCCTATATCATGGTACAATATAGAGATAAACTCTAACCCGTCTTGTGGTAATACTGATGATTAGGATATTTTAGTAATTTCATTTTGATGACGAAAGTGGATGTACCGGTAATACTCGAAAATGCATGACGATTATTTGAAAAAAAAAAATATGACGAAAGCTTTTATTACATCATCTAGAATAGATAAATTGTTTTTTTTTTTTTGTAATATAATATAAAAGCATTTTCAGCCAATTTCCCCTTCTGAAAGAGACATTTAAAGCTTGGTTTCCATACAATAACTACACAGTCGCTACACAGCTGTCCCTGACGCGTGCTGTCCCTGACGCAATCAGGAACGCTCCCGCATTCAATCTTTTTAGGGGGCTTGCGCTTGATGGACTCCGTGGCTGTGCTAGCTCCCCATCTGCTTTAAATGTATTTAAATATTTATGTGACTGCAATTTTAGGTGAGGCACTTGAAATTGAATTAAAAAAAAAGAAAGAAACTGACCAATCAGTGTCGCCAAATGAGTCGGCGATATCGTGTAGTGATTTTTATGGAAACCAGGCTTAACAGAAATCATCATGTAAACTTACGTCGGCAGTTGCAAGGATTGTATCCATCTTTCAGGCATAAGCATCTGTTATCAACGCAAGATGCCTGAAGATTCCAACAGATTGGTTCCTGTATAGATGCTAGCTCGATACACTCTGGAGCATCGGGACAAACGTCTGAAGGTGGGGTGCTCGCAAAAACAGTCATACATTGTACAGCCATAATAACTAATGAAATGAATTATATTTATTTATAACCTTGTATATTCAGGGAGATGTAAAAATACATACATACATTTATTAAATCTATGTATTAAATATGTGTACCAA